TATATACATTTTAAAAAATCTTTATACTGACAGAGTATATATCTATACCGATTAGTGTAAAAAAAATTTGATAGTATATATAACATTAATGCTATATGTGTGTGTGTATATATATATATATGTATATACATACACACTTTAGCCTTGTCTACCACCATTGATCAAGTTTGGTATGAATGTATGTATATGTATAGAAAAACTTACTAATCAACTAATCTCCTTTAGCCTTATTAATTCTTGTAGCCAGCATCAAAGTGTGAGTTGTGTCTATTATTATTATTATTTATTATTATCATTTTATTTTGTCAGCATCATGTAATGGCTTTCTACAAATTATTAGAGATAAACACAACTTTTTTGAAAGAAAAAAATCAATATCTAACACGAGTTTTTCCTGTGACTATTGGGGGCACAGTTACAAATTGGTACGACAAAAATTGAGCTTTCAAAAGTGTTGTGCATAAAAGTATAAATTTTCTTTGGCCAGTCGGGGCACCAAAGACTGGCTCCCCCTGTCGCTATACATCTTATTCATCCAATAAAAAAGAGTTACTTAATTAATCTTATCCATTTGTGAATAGACAATAAGAATAAATATATTAGCACTATATTATCATTTTACACCTGTGATAATGACAGGGTGTCGAAGCCTGTGCAATAATAAAAAAAAATAAACCTAATTGCCAGTTAAAGTAACCAAAACCCGATTCCAGGTACTGGAGCAGGGACTCTAGGTGTGCAATGAATTACTTGATTCACCCTGTTCCCGAAGAGTTTGTTTGATCCGATATACCCGAATGGGATGGCTTTTTCACAAATAATTATGAATTTGTAGACAGGGCAAGTAGGGTCGTATCCTCAAGGATTGAGGATATTTGTCTCTTTAGAAATCCAAAGTAACACAGAGGGGTGTTTTTGTATAAAAGATGACAATTAAAACAATTCAACTAAAAATAAAATAGCCAAATAAAAATTAAATGACAATTTACTAAAATCAAGGCAATAATAATTAAGGGTCTAGCCAAGAAATAACTTCAGCAATGGTTTACTTAATTGATCATCGATGCACAAGCAATTTCAATTATTTATTAATAAACAGGTTATAACTACCAAACAAGCGATGACAGTCAACCCTTCCTTACTGTGTTGGTGATTAAGGTACGCTCGTTAATCACTGCTCTAATTGAGAAATAATCTTAGGTACGCCCGTAAGATTTAATTTCTCAATTGTTTTATGTATTAGAGGAGTCCTATTCTAACCAAATAACGCACTACTAGAGTTATTTCGGATTATCCCGCGTATTCCCCTGGCACAAGCCTAATTATGCTAGTTGTCACTATTTTAAGGTAATTAAACAATTACGGATTTAATGCCCTAATTGACAATAGATTATCGAGTTAACTAATTATCCGGATCCAAGACAATCAATTAATTAAATAATCACAAGTACTATAATCAAGGAATATGTGAATACCAATAAATAAAAAAAATAAAATTAAATCGATCTCACAATTTTTAGGGGAATCAAAACCTCCGTTGTTCCTTGACTAGAGTGAGGAAATTAGTTCATGTTTGATGAGAAAAAATCATACGAAACTGAAGCAAAAGCTGTGGCCATCTTCTGCGTTTGGGAAATTTCAATTTGCTTCAAACGATGATAGGAAGCGAAAACTGCCTAGAATGATTAAATCCTTCAATTGGCCTCCGCGTGAATGATCTAGCGGTAACACCTCCCACCGATGACCGAGAGATCCCATGTTCGAGTCTCTGCTCTGCTGGATTCCTCCGCGCACATATCGTGCTTGAGTTGGGTTGGGGCGCCTGGTCGGGCTGCAAGAAATTAGTCAGGCCCTGTAAAAATTGACTTGAACACTCCTGTGTAGACAAAAAAAAAAAAAGATTAAATCCTTCAATTGTTCCAAACATACGCGGCAGGAGAACCACAAAGGTCGAAAAGCCAACGTCAAATAGAAAAGCTACAGGGAATCATTCCATTGTGCCTAATTTTATTTTATTTTATTTTTTTTCTCAGCGACGATACATTTGTATAACCTACTCTATCCTAATCTAGGGGGAGGGGGAGCCTAAGGAGGCTGTTGTAGGGGCTAGTGGATATACAGACCCAACTAGATCAAGGAAGTGCTATGATACAACCCTTAGATTTTTTTTCGCTGCCGGTGAGGTTTGAACCCTCACCAACAGCCTAATTGACATACGAGAATTGAAGCTAAGCAAAAGCAAACCAAGGAAAAGTCAACAAAAGCAGCTCCAAAAGTAATCCTATCTAAAAGTCTACTCTAATGCCCTACTCTACGGTGCGGCGTTCCAGCTATCAAAATGAAGACTCTAGCTTCCTCTTTTTTTTTTTCTTGCTGTCTTCGGCCAAATTACCAAAAAGGGCTTGCATCCCCTTGTTCTAAAAATGCCCTGAATGCTGCTATTTGAACTCTTTTTCGATGACGGTCAAATTAGTATTGGTTGTGGTATTTTCGTTCTACTTTTTGAAATAAATGTAAATTATGAAAAATGAGTAAAATCTAATAATTAATCCACATCGAATCAGGTAATAGGGGAAATTAATAATAAAATAAATGATAAAAACGCAACCTATCAGGTAATTAAATCTAGTTCATTTGTCAATGGCACATGGTTCTTCACAATTACCAGTTTTTTGGTCAGAGGTTAATTCAGAAAAAAATAATTTGTTGGGGTTATACTGCATTAAATTACATAGTTCTTCCATTTAGTTAAATTTTCAGCTTGGCACAGAAATGATATTGTCGTGGAAGCCCAAATGGAAGTGATGAGGGAAACGTTCGACTAAAAATGAAAAGGAAAAGGATCTTTGGCCCTTTCTCAATGCAAAATTACTATATAAAGCTTGTGGTTTTGTCTATATGATTTTTCTAATGTTTCAAAGTATTCACATGATGTCTTGTGATTTTATATAAAGTGAAAATTTGATGAAAAATAGCCTCTGCAGTACAACTAGTTAAATTATCAATAATGTCCTCACTTAATACTAAATATAACAGGGGTTTAACCACTTTTCACAAAACTATAAGAGGGATTATATGGATGTATGCAATAACTCAACTATATTTTCCACTTATTAGACTAACTTTGTTATGAAACATTGGACGGAAAAGTTTCTGGCAGTTGAAATAGTTATTATCTTTTCTTTATATTCTAAGAGGGAATAGTAGTTATATTTTCCTGCGCAGAAAACCTTAGTTGGAACCCTGACATTTTAGTTAAGCATCAAACTTGCTTGTACAAAACATAATCTGCACCGATGGTATGCATGACTTCAAATTATTGGTGGCATACCAATCCATTTAACTAAATTTATTCATACTCGCTCATGAATAGATGAATATGTGTATCTTAAATTTTTGTATATGGGTATAAATAGGTTATCCAATAATACCCATTTAATGGGTATAAATGGGTATTATTGGATAATCCATCAGATTCAATTAACCCATTTAGAATTCTTTTCCCCCAAATCTCTTATCTTCCCCCACCCATTTTTTTTTTCAAATTTTTCATTTTATCATGATGTTAACTACTTTTGTTTCATTATTATTATTATTATTTGTTGGTTTTATCTTATTATTTTATTTTTTCTTAGTTTGTTAATTTGCTCATTTTTCAACATTACCAATTTATAATAAGTTTAAGCCTCTTTTCTTATCTTTCTAAAATGAAATTTTAAATTTATATATGAAAAAAATGTTAGGGGTTCAAAATTTTTGGATTAAGTTTTTATATTAATTTTTATAGTACTTAGTTCAAATTTTTATATTCTTATTATTCAATTATTAAATAATATGTAATTTTGCTACATAGAGTATAAATGAAAAAAAATTCGTAATTAGGCTTATTGAGCATTATAAGTAAATATTTAAAACTAATGATGGGTACAAAAAGCGGTATAAATTAATAACTTAGTTTGTAAAAATTAATTTAAATGAGTTTACAAAAAGTTAAAATAAATGGATAATTGGGTTACCTAATTTATTTTTTGACTGATCCATTGATACCCATCTAATTAAATGGGTATAAATGGGTTGACTCACTTATACCCATTACCTATTTTATCCAACCCAAACCCGCCCAAATCATCCATTTTGACACCTCTCCTTCAAATTAACTTTCGGATGTAAGCATGTACTCTACATAGAGAGCAGTACAAGGGTTTGAAGTCATAGTATTTATGGACCATATTGACTAACAAATTTTCTTAGATAGAAGAAGAGTGGTAAGGAATAGGAATCAGAAGCAGATCCTGTTTTGGCCTGACTGCAACGCCAAAGGCCTCGGTCATGTCTAGTAGTTCTGGATTCAAATCACCAGGGAGCTTCCAATCGAAGTGGTAGAGAAGTTGAGCAAGAGGTAGCTCGATGTTAGGAAGAGCAAATGATATGCCAGGGCACATCCTTCTTCCCGCCCCAAATGGTATATAATTAAAAGTTTTTCCCTTGAAATCGGTTTCAGATTCAAGAAACCGCTCTGGAATGAATTTCTCAGATTCAGTCCAGTGTTCTGGATCTCGACCAATTGCCCAGACATTGACAAAGACTCTGGCTTTGACAGGAATTTCATATCCCTGAATTTCACATTGCTGGCTACATTCCCTGGGAAGTAAAAATGGACCAGCAGGGTGCAATCTCAAAGTTTCTCTGATAACTGCTCGCAAGTATTTCAATTCATGAAGTCGTGACTCATCAACGTTGCCCATTTCACCATATATTTGTCGTACCTCATCTTGGGATCTTTTTAATAGTCTTGGGTTTTTAATCATTTCAGCCATTGCCCATGCCATAGTTGTTGATGACGTCTCCCCGCCGGCTAAGAATATTTCCTGGACAGAATGAGTATCTTCAAGTTCAGTTGATGGGAAAAGGAGAGTTAACCAGATTATTACTCATTGATATCACTCATATAGGTCTATTTGGCGCTCTATTTCAATTGGAAGTGGAATTGAAACGGTCGTTTAAGAAAAAGTAGCTAGTTCAAAAGGATCAATATTAGCTTCACTACTACTCCTGTTCTGATGATTAAACTAAACGCAACGTAAAAGAATGTATTCAAAATGAGTCTATGGAGAAAAAGATATTGACTTACAAAGATGACCGCCTTGACGTTATTGTCAGTAAGTGGAGCTCCAAATTCCCCAGATTCTTGAATATTTAGAAGAACATCAACTAGATCCTGATTTGCTTCTCCATTTCCAGGTTTCCACCCCGCTCTTTTGACTTTGTGCTCATTGAGAATGTTTTCAAGTACTTCATCAATCTGTTTGTGTAACCTATCCAGCTTATGTCTAATTCCAGTAATTCTCTCGAGAATCTTGAAAGAAGGGTACATGTCCACGACGTTGAACCCTGACAACAATATCACAACTTCGTTCATAAGTGACAAGAACTCGTCATGGTATTTACTTCTTTTACCAAAAGCAGCCCGAGCAGTGATGCTCAATGTCAGAGAATACAACTTAGTGGTAAAATTGACAACTGATCCTTCTTCTGAAGAGATTGATTTGATCATATTTAAGACTTCATCTTCCCTAATTGATCGGAATGTCTGGACACGCCTTGCACTCAAGAGCTCCATCGTGTAGGTCTTGCGTAGTTGTCTCCAATAATCGCCATAAGGAGAAAAGCTAATATGAGTGTTATTGTAAAAGAGTATGGTTGATGTAAGAAGAGTAGGCCTATTAGCAAATATGGTATCATATTTGTTCAGAAAATCTTTTGCAACATCTGCAGAAGATACAACTACAGTTGAAACTTCACCAAGCTGAAGATGCATCAAGGGTCCATATTTCTTGGCCAAGTCTGCTAGGGTTCGATGAGGCAGGGAGCCATTAAGGTGATGCAAGTTCCCTATTATGGGCAATTTTCTTGGCCCTGGTGGGAGCTTTACAGGCTTGGATTTCTTTACAATTTTGACTAACATCAAACAAAATAGGAAGAAAGCACCTGGGAAAAGGAAAAGATCCATGAGGATGGGTAAACAAAAAATTCTGGGATGCTCCTGGCTTAAAACAGAAATGATCTTAAGTATATATAGAGGTCTCATTATGGTTAAACTATTGGGAAAATCATCGAAATGGTCCCTCACATATGTAAAAAGTCCTTTTTTGGTCCCTCACACTTGCAAATAGTTCATTTTTTGTCCTTCACATATGAAAAGATGGAAAATGATCCCACACATTTGCAAAGTCCTTTTTTAATCCCTCACATTATTAGAATTTAAAATAAATGTATTTTAAACAAAATTTAATTATTTATTTATTTATTTATTTTGCATAATTAACATATATTTATGGTGTCATTAATTACATTATCTCTAGTTTGTTTTTGTCCAAATAACGCATACCTTAATTGTGTTTCAAAAAATTTTAGACCGCAGAGTAACTCAGCAAAATCATGGGTCAAGGGACAACGGATTTTACTGATTGAGCCATCATCTAAAAATTGGAAACTTAGATGATGTAATAATAGCATCATAAATATGTTTTAATTACGTTAAATAAAATTTTATTTCTACAGGTTTAATAAAATATATTTGTAATAAATTCTTATAATGTGAGGAACAAAAAAAGACTTTTTACAAATGTGAGGAACCATTTCTATCTTTTCATATGTCAGGGATCCAAAAGAACTTTTTATAAATGCAAGGGACCATTTTACAACTTTTCAGATGTGAGGGATTAAAAAAGGGACTTGTTACAAATGTGAGGGTCCATTTCGCCGATTTTTCCTAAACTATTCTAATTTCTAAACCACTTGCCAGATCTAGAAAAGTCCAATAGCTAGTGAGTGATTAAGACCTAAGAGGCAAGCTGCACGTTTATACCGTGCAACTCAATCAGGTGTGAACGTATATCTTTACTATACTAAAAGCGAGAGTTGGGATTGCTACAATAGGCATGGACCGGTTATAGAGTAATTTTTAGCAATTCCAGTGGCTTTTACAATGTAACATTCGTAGAAGTTCAGGGCAATATCGTCACTATGTTGATATATCATGCCAGAAGTAGGCCCGGGGAGGGAGGGGCACGAAAATTTTGCTGGTTCCCTTCCATAACCCACTCATGGGTTTAAAGATAAGAAGAAGGATTATCCAGCTATCCCCTAAAATTACAATTAAATACAAACCTTTTGAGGATTGTTGTTTCCTTCTGAAAACTAATATGTCGAACTATAGGACCGCAATAAAAGGCCAGAGTACCAAGAATGGAATCAATTAGCAATCCTCTAAAAAATTAAGGTGATTGTTCACATAAATTACCATTACTTAACTACAACAACAGTAAAGTTTGAAGCACAAGTACAAAAATTCTTGGTCTGCTTAGCAAGAAAAACCTGAAAGCCAAATATATAAAGAAACCAGAAATTGAATACTATCTATCAATTGCTTGCGATTTTGACATACTGTAGGTCAAAGCCACATGTTTTTTTCATCAAAGTATAGTTTAATTTCCTAATCATGCAAGTACCACGAAAACTTCGATGGAAAAAAACATACAAAAAAGTGGCAAAGGTTTAAAAGACTACCTCAGGCAGTGAATAAGGTCTCTGGATTCCAAATCTTTTCCGAAATAAGATCAATAAGTAGTTTCCTCCAAAACACCAGTGAGATAGAAAGCTATGAATACGAGCTATTCGGTTTGGTGGATAATCGAATAAGTAGTTTAGTCATTTATAAATCAATATTGGATGGTCCCTAGTAAGACTAATCTGTAGATGCAGGGTACTATTGCTTTGCATTTGCGAAAATAGGGATAATACATTGCAGTGAATCTGAGTATGATATATTTCTCCAGGTTGTTCCTAGCTATTGTTGAGTACTTCCTAAGTAATTCTCCTACTAATGCATTCCCACAAATGTATCAGAAATTTGCATCAAGTTCAAGCAAATACTTAGATATTTTGTAGCAAATTCAGACAAAAATCCAGGCATCCTTACGGGATTCAAAGTTAAGGTCCAATTGTGAATTGGCTATTAAGGTTGTAAGGTAAAATATACTACATGTTGCATGTCTCAAGATTACTATAATTTGTTCTACTTCAAAGAATGCTTGACAAAAGAAAAGAAGGAAAAGTTCATCGTCATTGACTAATAGTCTCTGCACAAAAAAGAGATGCAAAGAAGAAAAATGATGACGATGATCTATGTACTACACCCAAAAATTATTGCAATGAGTGCAAGAAGTTTTGTAAGACACGTTCTATTGGAAAGATTACTACAAGAAACAACACCTGTCAATATGATATTTTTTACTACAATTACTAGAAGCATATTTGTTTTACTACATCACGAATAATTCTCAATTTCTTGACATTTTTTATTGCATAGAAATGTGATGATTGTTCTTTTAAATTATTGACATCACCATTGTGTTTATTCACAATAAGTTTCAAGAAGGGTTTTACTTGTTTAAACTTATTTCATTCTTGACTAGATACAAATAGTGTGTGCATAATTTTAAAAGTGATCAGCGTCACCACATTTATGATATTTGTATGTACTTGTACATTTCAAATGAATGCATCATTTATTTATAGTATCAAGAATTTGCAAAGATCTTAAGGTAATGACTGACTATCTAAGAGAAAATTACAAATCAAATGAGTAAACAAGTAACATCAATATTCAATTTACTTAAAATCAAATTCCCCACATTTATTAACACCTATCATGTATTAATATATAAGCATTTTACATTAATCCACTTACCTTCATTTGATCTTGATTAACATAGACCCAGGGCATCCTCACGCATCGCGTGAGACTGAAAAAACTAGTGTATAGAAAAACTTACTACTCAACTAATCTCCTTTAGCCTTATTCTTGTAGTCAGCATCAAAGTGTGAGTTGTGTCTATTATTATTATTATTATTTTATTTTGTCAACATCATATAATGGCTTTCTACAAATTATTAGAGATAAACATAATTTTTTTGAAAGAAAAAAAATCAATATCTAAAAAGAGTTTTTTCTTTGACTACTAGGGGTACAGTTACAAATTAGTACGACAAAAATAGAACTTTCAAAAGTTCTGTACCTAAGAGCACAAATTTTCTTTGGCCAATGGGGGCACCAAAGACTGGCTCCGCCCTATCGCTATACATCTTATTCATCAAACAAAAAAGAGTTACTTAATCTTATTGTGCTTCACATTCTTAGCTTGAAAGCTCTATTTCACATGTGCTCCTTTTATGTTATAACTAAAAATGTTAATCATGTTAATACTAGAGTTGGTGATTATGCGTTAGACATTTTACATGATGAGAAATGGATCAATCCTTTGTGCTGTTGAACACTTTTTGTATAGAAATGAGGGGCTTTTGCTCCAATTGTAAAGTTAAGTTGATGATCAATATATTACTAATATCGTTTCGAAAAAAAAATCTTATCCATTTGTGAATAGACCGTAAGAATAAATATATTAGCACCATATTATCATTCTATGCCTGTGATAATTAAATATAGTTCATTTGTCAATGGTTAACAATTACCAGTTTTTGGTCAGCTCATTTGTCAATGGTTAACAATTACCAGTTTTTGGTCAGAGGTTAATTCAGAAAAAATGACAGGTTTTCAAAACCTGTGCAATAATAAAAACCTGCTCAACTAAAATTAATTTCTGTAGATAGTGGTAAGCAGGGTCGAATCCACAGGGACTGGGTGTAACTGTTTCTTTTCAAATTCATACTAACAAAGGGGGTGTTTTTGTGCAGAAGGTGACAATCAAAGAAATTCAAATAAAATCTAAGAAACTACTAAAAATTAAATAACAAATTACTAAAAATCAAATGAGTGATGATTAAGGGTCTAGCCAAGAAATAACTTCAGCAATGGTTCACCTAATTGATCATCGATGCAAAGCCAATTCCAATTATTTACCAATAAATAGGTTATAATTGCCAAACAAGCGATGACAGCCAACCCCTCCTTACTGTGTCGGTGATTAAGGTACCCCCGTTAATCACTGCTCTAATTGAGAAATAATCTTAGGTACGCCCGTAAGATTTAATTCCTCAATTGCCTTACGTATTAGAGGAGTCCTATTCTAACCAAATAACGCATTACCAGGGTTATTTTAGGTTAGCCCGCGTATCCTCCTGACACAAATCTAATTATGCCAGTTGTCACTATATCAAGGTAATTAAACAATTACGGATTTAATGCCCTAATTGACAATAGATTACCAAATTAACTAATTATCTGGATCCAAGACAGTCAATTAATTAAATAATCATAAGCACTGTAACCAGAGAATATGCGAATACCAATAAATAAAAGAAAAAGATAAAATTAAATCGATCTCACAATTTTTAGGTGAATCAAAACTTTTGCTATTCCTTGACTAGAAAAGCAGGTTTAGTCCATCTCGGATGCGAAAAACCCATACAAAGCGAAAGGAACAATTGCTGCCTTTGTCATTAATCGGGAGAATTCAATTTGCTCGAATTACGAAGGAAAGGTCAGCCACAGGGATTGATTCAAGTGCTTTCTCATTGTCCCGGTCATATGACTATGAGAAGAAAACCACTAAGGAACGGAAAAGCGGAAAAAGTCCAAGTGAAAAAAGCTAATCTAAAGCTAAGAGAGAAAAGTCAAAAGCTAAAAACAAAGTAGTGCTCAGTGTCTGCCATATATCAATTGTTCCTATTCTAATTGCTGCTGTGCGGCCATATATCAATTGTTCCTATTCTAATTGCTGCTGCTGCTGCTGTGCGACGGACAGAGGAAAAAGAAGACTTCGGCCTCCCCTTTTTAATGCTGTCTTCGGGCCAATTACCAAGAAGGGTCGTGGTTTGATATTTCAAAAATGTCCCTACATGCCTGTTACTTAAATTCTTTTTTGATAATTGTCAAATTGACACTTGTGATAGTATTTTTATTTTACTTCCTAAAATAAATGTAAATTGCCAAAAGTGAGTAAAATTTAACAATTAATCCACATCGGATCATGTAATAGGAAAAATTAA